ACAAATTTTAAACCTCTTAAAGTCACCTTTATGAGAAAAATGGATCGGTGTCACTTCCTATGGACGTGCGAATTCAACGTGCTAAATTTAAAACTACGAGTTAGGCCAATCGGGCACATCAGAACATCAGAACATTTCATCGCAAATTCCAGACAATGACGAAAGGATCACGTCTACCCATCGAAATAACGGCTAAAGCGTATTTGCAAACTATTTCGCTCTTCTGCCAGGCACCCCAGACTGATCAAAGAACCAAGAAACCAACAGCGAACGCTGAAAAGTCGACGGCAGCGTGCACGGCCATTAGAGTCGACTCGCGCACTCTCTTGCGGACAAAAAATGTAAACAACAGTTCTACTAACTCCCGGTAGATGTAAGGAGTGCAGGTTCCTTGGAGACTACAGTGAGGGGATTAGCCTGTCCGCTCCAATACAAATCTTGATCTTCGTGAATCTGAGACACTGAAATTATACATTGTCTAAGAACCTCATTTTTCGAGGAACGAAATTAGGCGCCAGAGCTGCTCCTCGTNGGCTGATATATAAATGGCTCCTGAGTTTATTAACTTGAGAAAGGTTTACACCAAGTAAACGAATTTTCATTATCGATCAGCACTAAGAGCTCTTTCTACATCATCCTTGAGTGCAAGAAACACGAACAAAAAATAGAAAAACTGCCTATGTTGTAATATATATGGCCTAGAGAATACTTCCCGGATGTCTACTTACGTTGAGAACTATAGTTAAATAAACTTTTTAAGTGGTAGATTCAATTTAAAGTTGATTTCGGCCTGTATCATGGCTGCAATTTCACAGAAGCCAATCTGCTAATTCCCATTGCAGACTGAACTCAGAACTCCAAAAAAATTCCACTGCCCGTTGGAAAATACAAATTTTAAACCTCTTAAAGTCACCTTTATGAGAAAAATGGATCGGTGTCACTTCCTATGGACGTGCGAATTCAACGTGCTAAATTTAAAACTACGAGTTAGGCCAATCGGGCACATCAGAACATTTCATCGCAAATTCCAGACAATGACGAAAGGATCACGTTATACATACAGACACGTCTTCCCATCGAAATAACGGCTAAAGCGTATTTGCAAACTATTTCGCTCTTCTGTCAGGCACCCCAGACTGATCAAAGAACCAAGAAACTAACAGAGAAGGCTGAAAAGTCGACGGCAGCGTGCACGGCCATGAGAGTCGACTTGCGCACTCTCTTGCGGACAAAAAATGTAAACAACAGTTCTACTAACTCCCGGTAGATGTAAGGAGTGTAGGTTCCTTGGAGACTACATACTCCCCTAATCGGACAGGCGAGGTTATGTTTAGAACTAGAAGCACTTAGACTCTGTGACTTTAATATGTAACAGATTCTTGGAGTAAAAAGCTCCTTGCTTTAATCCGCGGTCTCGACGAGGAGCAGGAGAAGTTCATGACTCAACCCCAAGATGCCCACAAAGCACCAAGACAAAGCCCACCAGTTCACAAACACACGTGTATTTGACTTTCGTGCAAAGGGATTCAGATGAGCATCACGTGAAAGGTCTAAAAGGAGGTCTGGTCCCAAGCCTCAACCCTTCGAGCAGTTTTCACGTACACCGTACGTGTACGTTCATCACTCGGGAGGTCAAGTCAAAACTCGGCGTTTTGACCATATTCACATCATCGTCTTCCAACTCGTCCAAGATCTCCCTCTTGGTTTCTTCATCATCCTCCTCCACACCCTCATAGAGATGCAACGATATTTTATCGGTTATCGGTATCGGCCGATATTTGGCTAAACCGATAACCGATATTAAGAGTACGCCTGAAGTATTCCAAATGCTAAGCAAGAATAGCGAGTTATTAATAATCCCTCATCTCTCTAATAGGAGAGTCGAATGTGTCTGAATGTCATGTGCTTCTCAAACAAGTAGATATGATACAAAACGTTTTACCATTTTAATATGTATTAATTGTCATAATTTATTTCCTTTCGAACCGAGAGCTTGAGGATGGTAAGGAATCGGTATCATTGCATTCTGCCACCTGTGTAATTGTGAGGGGCTGGTCTCTCTTCGACAGCCTACTCACCTCTCGTTCTGGCTGATACGTGTCACTTACGGGCTCTTTTTTTGCTTTTTTTTTTTTGCAGAAGTAGTCCAGGAGACGCGAGATGCGTGTTGGCTCGAGGAGAACTGCAACAAGAAGCGAAGAAACGCGGCCAGAGCTTGCTGAGATACGCAGCCCCCTTTTAACCACTGTCGCGGACTTCGAGTTCTCGTTCCGCTAATTTTCCGAGTTGATGGAGATTAATTAAACTCGTCGCGAAATAATTGCAGGCCGCAAGAGCAAACGAATATTCCTAAATCGTGTGCAAGCGATCCATGACGCATTGAAAGTATCACGTGGGGATCCTGTTAATATGTTAATGCAGTTAATAGAGTAATAACAGTCCTCATATAACAACAGATGATCTTAATTCCGCAAACAGATAAGGGAGACGTGCAAACAAAGTCCGAGAGAGAGAAAGCGCGTGCGCTCGCATGCGAGCAATGAGTAGGACTGAGGAACTTCCGCCGCCTTGTGTCTCTGCGCATCATCGTAAGATGGCGCGCCCTTCTCCTCTGCCAACTTTCTCGTGGTTTCCTGAGTTCTTTTTTTATCGGCATTTAGAGCTACGGATGGAAAATCATTTCGCACGGAGGAGATATTCTATGCATTCGAGTTTGTTTTGGCGCAGCTTCATCAGATGTGGTGGAAAGGGGTGAAGTTGGTCTGACTCCACGTCCGCTGCAATAGTGACAAATGGCTACAAGACTTCATTTATTTGCTACTTGACAATTTTTTTTTTATAATAAGAAAGCATTACGTATCTCATGAACCCTGTTGGGGTTTATGTTGGAAATGCATTTCCCTTGTCTAAAACATAATGCAGGCATGAAAGGTCCAGTGCTAGGGACCAAGAACGAGTGGCCTGCTCTAGGCTGAAGTTTCAATGCAAGGAGCAAATCGAAGGACGTGATGTCATGGTCCAAGTTTAATGGCTTTGCCAAAGTTCATAATTAATGGGTCTTGGTGAATGCGAAGTTGTGAACGAAGCAAAACAAATCGGTGTGTAAATCTAGGCATAATATTATCAATACCATAGCCTATGAAACTAAATGGGGGTGAATTCCCATATTCTTTGATGATCTGTTTGCCCTAATTGGCCATTATTTTGACAAGAATCGAGAACCAGTCTGGACAAGGTGGGTCCTAAACGAGTGCACTGTGGAATTACTTCACAAAAAGTCCTGTTGACTTTGCCATCTGCAAATTATGTACTCAAGATGTGAAAAGAGGGTGATGACCCCCAAGAAGTAGGAATGCTTCAAATTTAAAGGCTCACCTTAAACAGCATCATCATGATGAGAGAAGAGAGAGAAGATGATCTGTGAATAAATCAATTCCAAAACTTACTCACATAGCTAGTGCAGAAAGGACAAAAGAGCAGCAGAAATGATTGCTTTAGACTTTCGACCCTTTTCAATCGTGAATGATGAGGGTTTCATCCGGCTGTTTCGCACGGCCCTTCCCAAGTACAAGCTTCCGTCTCGAACATACCTCAGCGAGAATCGCATTCCTCAAATGTATGAAAAAATTAGCCAGAAGCTTAAGACCCAGTTGGAAGAAGTTGGATACTATGAGTTTCACTGTAGACATTTGGACCGATGTTGAAAGTTTGCTCAGTTTGACAGTTCATTTTCTGACCCCAGAATTTGAATTGAAATCAATTGTACTAGCAGCAGTTCCAATTTATGGAAGTCATACTGCCCAAAACATCAAGGAAAAATTGGAAGGAACATCAAAGACTACCAAATTCAATGTCTGGTAAGCTCTAAATCATTCCACTCTTTCAAATTCTGAGTTTCTGTATCTTAATGTATTAGCTTGGGTGTAACTCATGCCAATGGCTTTTCAGGTCCGAGACAATGGGGCAGACATGAAGGCCACAGACCTGATGCAGTGTACTGCACTTACATGTGCGGCACACACTATGCAACTTGTGGCTAATGATGCTGTGTTGTCCCAGAGAGCTGTTAGTGATATGCTGGCTCTCGGCAGAAGAATTGTTGGGCGGTTCAAACATTCAGCCAGTGCCCGTGACAGTCTTAAACAGCTCCAGGAGAAATTCAACTTGCCCAAGCATGTACTGGTGCAAGATGAACCAACAAGGTGGGATAGTAGTTTGCACATGCTGGAACGCCTATGCGAACAACGAAGTGCTGTTGATGAGTTCGCTTCTGAAGATGGTGTCCCATTATTGCAAGCATACCAGTGGAGCTTGATGAAATCTGTCATTGCCCTCCTGAAGCCATTAGAAGAATTCACCAAGAAGGTACTTTTATTCATGTTTTCTTGCCATTTCCTCTGCAATGCTCCTTCATTGTATGGATGGACAAATTATGTATCTGAACATCAGAATTTTCAATGAGACGACATCACAAAAGGCTACATACAGAGGAGAGGCCTTGCATTGAGGATTCAATTGAAACTTATCCTGCATGATTGATTACATTTTTTTTTACAAATTAAAATATTCTATTGCTTAATCTTTCATAATTTATTTATTTGCAGGTCTGTGAAAGCAATGCCACAGCTTCCCTCATTGGCCCACTTGTGCAAGGAATTGAAAAGGTTCTGGAAGGAACGTCAAGTCCTGGAGCAGGAACTATGAAAGAACAGATAATGAGCAAAATGGAACTCAGAAATAGATCAGTATCTCTCTGCTTCTGCACTTCCAAGAGATGACAATCCATTACTGTACTGGAAAAGCAATGCTCAGCATTATGAAATGTTGGCCAAGCTCAGCCAAGGCCAACATGCTTTTGTTTTTTAACCATAACTTCAGGTTTTTCAACTTTGAATATTGAAGCAGAAAGCAGTTCAATCCACATTGAAGAGACTGGCTTCAACATGAAAAAATAATTCATCCCTGATTCATGTGAATCTCACTTTCACCATAAGAAGTGTAACGGGCACGGGGCGCAGTGGGTTGGATTTATGAAAATACCGACTATTAAGTTCAAATAAAAACTTAACGTGCCCCAATTCCACTAAAATGAATTCCTTCCAGGAAACCAGGTCCGTGCCAATTCAAATTCGAGTGGGAGTAACTAAGGCGTAATTCAAGAAAATAAAAAAAAATGTATTTCCAAAAAGAAAAATCAATAATAAAAAAGACAAAGGAAATGTTAACCAAACAACTGGTCCAACCCCTTTACAGTAATTTCAATGACAAAGGGCTGATATCCAGATAAAACCTTGCAAGTTCTGGGGAAAACTCACGACCTTCGAAGCAAAACGATCCTTTAACTATGTCGTTGTTCCTCTGTATGTTTTTTAGAGAGAAAGGCAGCCAGTTTCAATACACACACGATCTAAAAGGGCCCGAGTACCCCGGTCAAATCGGTACTAGCTCGAGTTCTTCGAGTTCGAGCTCTTCATTCACCTCGGAGTGAAGGATCTTCAGCTGAAATCTTGCTGGATTGGAGGATAGGTTTTGGCGATTAGACTTGATTGGAGGGACTTTGATACCCATTCGCATAATGATGTCATGGCTCCTTGTTTGGGTAGCCCATTCGAGAAGGAAAGATCCTGCATATAAACTGTAAGGAGCCCTTCCACGTGTTGGTTCACCCCAAACACTGGGTTCACCTCCCTCCACGTGTTGATGGATGTTTTAGTTCACCTCCTTCAGTCTTCCTCCCCGCCTTGACTCTCTACTGGATGACACTGGACGTTGCGCGGTCAGAGGCTGGCATACGTTACACATGTTATCCAATTCAATGCATCGAAGGGAATAATTCAGTTTATAACCGCTAACAAAGAATTGAAATAGACCCTTCGAAGTGGTGAAGCCACTGAAGAAATGCTCAAAAGGGGAAGGAAGTGAGGAGCTGATCTCGTGGATACGCCGTAAAGCACGAAAGTATGAATTCCCTCTTGAAAGCCTCATGTTTAGTACTGTACAGTCGGGGGAAGATGAACCCTTGTACTGTCCCATGTCTTCTGCACAGCCATGGGACAGACGTGTGTGCATGGGTAGGGGTCGCTACTGGGGCTCGGTATATAATATAATATTAGCTCTGCATTGGCCATAATCATTTCGTACCGTATGCTTAAATGTTCTTAAATGAATGTTCTACGACTTCTCTTCGAATAAGGTCTGACGTGGAGTAGAGAGTGTAACATAGCGGCGACGCTCCAAGAGTATGCTGGATGCTGCAAGGTAACATGCACCGTGTTGGATTGGATTTTGCCGCTGCTGTACAGCACGAGTATGAACCACTGAGGTATAGAGACCTCTATCTCAGTGGTATGAACTCGGCCAAGGGGGGTGGGAATATTGCAGAGACATCTGGTGGCTTGTTATGAACAACACTTCAGTGAGGCGTGACAGCGGAATTGGGAATCGACTCATTCTGAGATTCGACCCGTAGGGAGACCCTCAATTTAATAAGCTGTCCCGTTTAATTCCGCTGCTTGGCGTTGGAGTGATTCGTGTCCGCCCGCTAGGTGGAGTGTCGACAGCGACATCTATACTGCGACCCTGTAAATGAATGGGATTCGAGCGAAATGTCGTTCCTAGGTGCACTTTACACTCTATGCTTACTGCCTTACAAAATGGGGAATATGAGCTGGTTCGTGGCCTGGACTCTGTCTCGAATATGAGGATAACAGGTGATGAGGCATGCCCGGCGCGGGAAAATGCGGGGCCCCCAGCGGCAAAGACATTGGGCCACCTCTGGGTTCCGAAGATTTGCCCCTCACTTCATTTTCGATTATCGAAGTTATATTAGGGAAAAAAATGAAAATCACTACATTTTTATTAAGCAAGGAAGGAGAGGAATTTGTGTAGGTTGCCCAAAGGTTTCGCGTTCGTATTCTTAGAACCTTTGCCACCGGCTCATCGATCACTTTCTTGTGATTCAATGACCTGCCGATCTCCCTCTCGATAGAGAGTATGGCCTGTCCTGTCGGGCGTTCTTGTGACACGCTTGATAAGTTATAAATTGTTTCATTTTGGAGAAGCTTCTTTCTGCAGATGCAACTCTCACTGGAGCTGTGAGCAGCACTCCAAGAACAATGGACAAATAGGCTACACGGGCCTGACTACTCTCGTGAATGAACCGCGGAGTTCCAAGAGCATCAAGTGGCTCTGGTCGCAAGCGTTGCCTGACTGCGAAGCTCATCGACAAGGTCGTTCGTCTGTTGAGACCCGTGCAATGTTTAGACACCTTGGCAAAAGGTGTTTAGACACCTTTTGCCAAGGTGTCTAAACATTGCACGGGTACCATCGATGATTAGGATTGTCACCCGTTCATAAATAGTATCGATAGTACATATTTCAGACGCTTCGTAGATGCTGCAAACTGGTCTTAATATGGACACGGTTTTGTCCATATGATAAACTCATTGATATTTTTTTAAATTAATAAAACTTAATAGGTGCTAAAACGGCTCTTTTCCGTAAGTCAAAAGCACCAGGCTCTCATGGTATACAATTGGCGTCTTGGCTCTGGGTATTTGTGGCATAGCCGCATAAACAAGTCCCTCGTATTTCGAATATATTTGCATATTTCTATGCGTCCACGTTTAATTCTAAATGCGGCAACCCTATCAATGACTCGGTAATGAATATACAAGACATTTCACGACGTGATGAAGGGAGACGAGCGAGGGAAAGGGATGAAAATGAGATCCTCCTCGCAGTCGCCTGCAAGAGCGAGGGTTTCATGCGGAAAGGGTGGAGGAATTAAAATTATGAATCTAAAATATACTTTCCATGCATTTGGTGGCGGATTTCGGGCTTCTCGCCTGTCCAGAGTAGGAAGATCTAGGAATATTCTGTCTCACTCGGAATAACTAGCAGCGTTTCAACGTTTTTTCTCTTTTGCTTTCGTTCTTCCTATCTTACTTATTATTTATTTCTTCCTCTTGCGGCTGGGGCCCCCTGCGGCCGCAGGGGGCCCCAGCCCCCTGTGATGAGGTGTCCGCGTTGATAGATACCTATAATGAGACCAGACGAGATATGGGAAGGTACTAAATACTCCTGTGAGGGAAGATTCCTGGAAAAAATGGAAGCACTTTTGTGTACTGAGCGAAAAGCGAAACCCACCCTTCCATGATGAAACTCCACCCCCTAGATGGACTCCCTTCGATCTTCTTATCGCTCTTTTTTTTTTTATTCCTCATCTTTTCATGCGTATACTCGCCCTAGAGGCGAGAATCGTCATTGTCACCGTCAAGAATTCAGTTTTGTATGTTTGCGGCCTCGCTTCTATTCAGAGGAGGATTCACTGCTCTTACACCTCATCCCAATATGATTTAATTTTCATATTTCAGAACACGACCACAAAGGCCTTCAGATGGCTATTTTGGAAGTAGTTGTTCGGCTCCTGTCTCTTTTCCCGATTTTCCCTCTCCAAAGCTTAAGCATTCTGAAATTGACATCTGTGTATGATAATGGCTGCACGCTGCAAGCACGTGTGCAGCCGTCAGGCCTACTTCATGGGCGTTTTCCTTGAAACTTACCAATACAGTACCTCCTATTGACTTGCCTTGGATATATACCCTAGGTGCTACCTTGCAGTGCCTTAATGAATTTCTGTTTTGGACAGGCAATGGGGTGTTTCGCTTAGGCAGCAAAGCGACTTACTGGATCGAGTAAGTGTAAAGTTCTCCACGTCGGACGAAATGACAGTAGGTCTCTCGGCGCGTTTGGCTTATATGAACTGGAGTAGGCAAACAGAGTGGGAGATTCAGGGTTTCTATCGACGAAGAGTTTTTACCAAGTTTTCCTCTCACGCACGCGACGGTGGCTAAGTGTAACAGGATACATTCGTCGTTCAGTTGCCAGTTGGAACTCGCGCCTTATTCTTCCGTTGTATGCGGCGCTGGTGCGACCTCAGTTGGAATATTGCATGCAGTTTTGGAGGCCTACAAATAAGGGTGAATTGTTGGCGCTCGAAGGGGTACAGAGGAGGGCCATAAGTATGTTGGAGGTCAGGGGACTTTTGTACAAGTAGCATTTAGAAGTGCTGGGACTGTACAAGGGAGAGAGAAGGTTAAGGAGAGGTAATCTCATCCAGGCCTGCAAGATAACTAAAGGAATAGAGCATGGTAGGTTCTTCCAGTTCTGTGGCAGCAAGAGAACTAGAGGTAATCAACTCATGTTGCGTAAACTGCAGGTGCAGCTCAGGTCGAGACAGTATTTCTTTACTTATTGGGTGGTGAATGTGTTAGATGAAAACATAGTGACTTACCCTGCCCCTAATGTGCTTATTTTTAAAGAAGAGATTAGATGCTTTTATGGACAAAGCAAAAAGGGGAACAATGTAGATAAAAGGGACTAGGCAGTAAGTGACTTGGATATATAATTAAAAAATCACTAAGATATGTAGCTTTAAGTAGAGTAGGCCTATCCAAAAATTTAAGGAATGCTCATCCTCCACATGTGGTTCCCAAATGGGCATTATCATCTCTTGATGCCACTATCCTACCTTGAAGTCTTTAATTAACATGTAGGCTCCAGGTCCAAACCACTTCTTGCCTGACACCATTATAGGCCCAGCCTTATTTGTCCTTTGAAAATTGTTTAAATAATATTGTCTCCTCTGATGTAATAAGTCTCCTAAAGGAGAGGCTAAGGCTAGACAGGAATTCAGTTTGTGGTGAACAATTGTTCATGGTGCAATCCATTCAGCTACATTAGCACATCAAACATCAGAAAGATGGGCTGGGGAGAATCGCCAAACCATTAGGCCTGTGCTTGTTTGTACCCTGCCTTTTTGGTAAAGAACAGCAAGTAATTTCTGACTTCCTCTTTCTTGCCAAAAGTCATGGATGTATTTTTTTTTTTTAGGACAAAGTACAAGTAAAGAAGGAAAATGAAATAATTGGCAAAGAACTCATGTGGGAGACATTTGGATTTGATATTCTAAGACATGTGGACCTCACAGGCACCCTTTTCCTAAGATAAGAATTTAGAAGTGTTGGGACTGTACTCGCTCGAACAAAGGTTAAGGAGGGGCGATCTCATCCAGGCTTTCAAGATAATTAATCCAGTGCTGTGGAGAAATTCGCCAGTTAACAGGTCAAAGCCCTCGCCATTTATTACTTTTTCAATCCATCTCCAATCAATGTGCATTTTCAACCTTGGTTGGTTTGGTTAAACTCACAAGATCATCTTGCATCCTACATGTATCACTTTCCTCCCATTTCCATGGGACTGGATAATGCAAGCATTTGAAGACTTTCTCACGCTTTCTGAGACGATTTCCAATGTATAAATTACAGCCCTCATGCATTTGATAAAAGTTAGATGGTTATGTAAGGTAGGAAGATAATCCCAGAGGTGTATGTCTGAATGTGCAAACCTCATTTAGGAGAGATAATGGGGCCTTTAAGTCAAAGAGCTCTCATAGTAGTCCATGTATTCCTAAAGAACCATTAACTAAAGAAGGTTTCAGCATTGATACCTTAGTGACCAATGGAGTAGAATATCCATGTTGGGACTGGTACTCTAGTCCTATCCTTTTACCTCACTGAACTTGAATGTGAGCATACATTCAAATATATGTAATTTGGTGAAGGAATTGTCCTTAGCCTCTAAACAACTCCTAAGACAAAATGGTTATGAGCCCTTAACCAGGGAAGTCCTTCATGGAAGGTTTGAGATAAAATATAATGGGAAACTAGATGTTATGGAAGAATCATGAACCTTGGACAGTGTCTATTTTTTTTTACCCAATGAAGCCAACCTATGGTTGGTTAATGTATCTTCACAGCCAGTAGATTGATGTTTCATTTTATTTTTCAGGTTTGTTTGATTATGCTTAGTGGAAACTCTTCCCCTGCTTAGTCCAAATCTTCTTTTGTGGGATCATGGGAAGATCTCACTTTGTAATTCGGATGGTTCATCAAGGCTGTGCAAACAGACCTTTCTATCATCTTGTTGTGCATAAGGTGAGAGTTCCTTTTTGCCTGCTGTTGATTTGTATTCCCCAAGCATATGCTAGACTACACTGAAAGCAAAAAGGAAGATCAGAATTTAAATGGAAATGATTGCAAAACGAGCCATTGAGGGCAGAAAGCTTTGCAGAATCCTCAAGAAGAAGGATTGATCATTCTGTTCTAAGATGCCTCCACTCAAGCAGTGGAGACATCTTAGAACAATGGTGGATATGTTGGCTACATGCTCTCCTTTATTTGCTAACATTGAATTCTGTCTTTTTGGTTCCCCAGTTCTGTGTATGATTTTTTTTTGCAAACATGTGTGCAAGTTTATTATTATTATAATGATCCTCCCCTTTGACTTGCCATTGATTATTGTGGAACTGAATTTCTGACGCTTTGAAACTGTGTTGCAGTCACACAAGAACCAACATGATCCTCCAATAGAGCAAGTGGGAAGCTTTGACCCCATGCTGAATGAGAATAATGAGAAGCTTGTTGCTGTCAACATGGAACGATTGAAATTTTGGCTTGGTAAGGGAGCCAAGGTGTCCACACCCTGTGCAGAAGTACTAGGTAATGCTCTTCCCATTCAGAAAGGTGATCTTAAGGACCCCTGCTTCATGAAAGTTCTCATTGAGACATGTTGCTTTCTTTCCATTGCATACAGGCATCGTGGGTGTTCTTCCAATCCACCCTCGCACATATATGCAAGGTTGGCGAATGCGTCTGAAGGACCTGGGTCTGGAAGAGGAATTGAAACCACCTCCTGAACGTTTGAAACCTTATGAAGAGGCAACTAAGCCAGTCACGTAGCATTAGTTAATGTGGTTGAATGAATGTCATTGGCAAACAGTATGAGTGTTTTTGTAGGTAAATATATAATCAAGAACACATCTTAGTATATGTTGACTTCTGTTCCTCAACACTAGGCAGTAAGTTTTATTGGTCAGTCATACTGTGGAAGTTGATTCATGCTAATTTTCTGGAAAGCAAGATACCATTCGTATATATTTCTTCAGTTTTCTTTCTGGGGTGTTCAAATTGACTACTGGGGTATACAAAGTGACTAGGAAATGGGCTAAAGCCCATTTCCTAGTCACTTTGTATGCAGAGTAGTCACTTTGTATGCACTTTGTATACTGGGGTATACAAAGTGACTAGGAAATGGGCTTTAGCCCATTTCCTAGGTCATCACAATTAAACTCTCTGCAACATGTGGAAGGAGAGACAAAGGAATAATGGAGTGCACTCTGCAGTATCCAAAGTCAGGCAGAGATGGAGAGAGATCACTCCAATCTGCACAAACCAGATATTCCTGCTGTTGCATTTTTAGAGTTGGCCATGACCAAGTGCTACATGGAACATATGAAAACCTTGTTGGTAGTCATTTGGAGCAGCCAGTAAGTTCAACCCTCAGGACATTATGGAGCTGGTTGAACATGATGGCATTTCCTCTCAGAACTAGTTACAAATAGAAGATAGGAGATCCTCACAGCATATTCTTTGCTCTTTGCCTGACGGACTCTTACTCTCATGCTCCTGCAATGTTTTCTAGTGGTTTTTAGATTTGCTGTTCTTGTGGATTATATTTAAGTACCTTTTCTATGATTATATTCAACTTCCTTTTCTATGACTGAATATTCCTTGGCAGTTACCTTCATAGTCTTTTCCCATTGTATTCATGATTAGTAAAAGGGAAGCATGGTGTCATGGCTTGAAGAAAACCACTACTGGTTGCTCTGATGCAGTAATTATAGATTGTTTGGGTATTTTTTATCATTCTTCATGCATAATTTAATATAATGCCTGAACTTATTTTTCGTAATCTATAGTGTTGTTCTGATGTATATATCTGAATGATTATATGTTTCCATATATATGTGCACAAAATGGTGAAAATGTATTTTGGAAAACTAGAAGAGTGCATTGAGCATGGAGTATTTGTTCCAAATAGAGAGGATGCCCAGGTCATGTTCATGCAAGTAATTGATAAATTATCTTTAATTATTATCATCTAATGTAAGAAGGCCCTCTATTTACAATTTTCATCATTTTAGACATATGCAATTGAAAGTAGAGTGAATCATGCACTTAAACTTGTATAAAAAATGATCATGTTGGGTTTATTAATGAATGAGTAAACCTGGAGTCCTTTAGCTTAGTGCTCTCTCCATGGATATTTTATGGGCTTCATTATGGGGTAATGTGACCTTAAGAATCTTTGATGATTCTGTATTTCTGTTTTTATTAAACTTCTCATGAGTTCTATGGATGACCTCTTCAAGCAATGGTAGAAGTGCTGCTTTACACTTCCTTGGAGTAGACCTCTTCAATTTTTCCTAAATCTCTGGGTTTTTCTAACAAATAAATTACTTGTTTCTATTTCCATCTGATAGAAATGGCTACTGATGTTGAAGCAAAGCTTGAGTCCCTGAAACTAGAAGATGTTGATTCATTCACCATCGATGAAATACGAGAAATCCTGCATGTTTTACTTCCCAAGTATCAGGCTTTACTTAAGCAGGTTGCTGCCTATGTGAACCAGGTTTGTGTGAAACTAAATCCTTCTCTCATGCAGTGCAACCTTTATTGCATCATGATTGAATGCTATGGGTTGTCTTGCTCAGCTTGTGGAGCTACAGTGCAAGTCTTGTGAAAGCAATGAGGATAAGGAGGTGCAGGTGAATCAAGAGGACATCACAAGATGCAATGGCACTTCTCTAGATTGGACTGATCCTGACAGTGTGGGTATGTGACTAGAAACCTTCCAAATGAACTGTTGAAGGCAGTTGGTCACTTAAAAACTCCAATTTTTGGCAATTGGACTACCAGCATTGCAAGATTGATGAGGGTTCAATCTCAGTTCTCTTATTTAATTGGCTGCCGTGCCTTTACTAATCCTAGTCACAACCCCCTGTGAGCAGATGTTGTCTATTTTTAGTGTGTTTTGCTCAAGCATATTTTATAGTCAGTGATTTTCATATATGAATCCCATTTTAGTTTTAAAAAATGTTTCAGTAGGTCATTGATTCTGAAGTGTGAAGAAATATTTAAGACTTCCTTCCATGTGCTATCACAACTGCTGAGAGTATGTTTCCAACTGATACATCAAATTTCATCTGAATTTCTTGAACCAAAGCAATCTTATCCAATTATTGAAAAGAAGTTTGACATCAAGAATGGACAAGAGCTCCTGCTGGTAGTGGAGTGGAGGACATGCTCAAGCACAGAGATATGGAAGCAGAGTTCGGCGTGGTCTTGATGAGCAGGAGGGATGGTGCTTGAGTGTTTCCTCCTATCCACTACCAGCAGGAACTCTTGTCCATTCTCAATGTCTAACTTCTTTTCAGTAATTGCTGATAATATTGCTTTGCCTCAACAAATTCAGATGAAAATTAATGTATTAGTTGGAAACATGCTCATATATCCAAAGGGAAAGTATTGCAAAACAAGCTTTATTGTGAAGGGAGATCTTTGGGTTGCAAGTCGTTGGTCTTTTTTTTCACCATACCCTGTACATATTTACATACCATGAAAATCTTACAGTGAAATTTCACAGTCTAATAATGATAATTTTTGTTGCATCTTATTGTCAGCAATTTTCAAGTTGTTGTTGTTGACTGAAAACCCTTAACATTCACTAAGAATTTCATTGCCTCAATGATGATATTACACTCAAACCTGCTGCTGTTTGTGACAGTGCAAGAGGGAGTCAAATTATAATTAATTTTTTTCTCCTGACTAGGGAAAATTGATGTAGCGAAGTGTGTGGAAGAAGCAGCCTCAGAAGCCTTGCAACATACAGGATTTGTCTTTGAGGAAACCTCTGGCCTCTATTATGACTACTCTTCAGGCTACTACTATGATGCTGTGAGTGTTGTACATGATGGTGGAAAATGTACCTGCCAAGATGAACTTTATTGAATTTACCCTCTTTATTTGCTTCAGGAGAGGAGTCTTTACTATGATGGACGAACAGGTATCTATTTCTATTACAACCCAGAATCAGGGAAGTATGAATTCCATTCCCAGGTTGGAGCATCAAAACAGAACCAGGTAATTGGGAATTGCACTCATGATTCTCAAGTGTCAGACATTGTATCACAGCATGCCATCTTCATAGCATTCATGCCTTTGCCTTTCCTCCCCCCCCCCCTATTAGAAAAGCAAGTCCAGAAAAAGAAAAGTCCAGGAAGCTGAGGTTGAGGAAGCAGAAGAGAAGGAGGAAGGAGAACTTTCTAATGCCAGTACTGAGGATGAAGAAGATGCTGAGGAGATAGAGAACTCCTCTGATGAAGAAAGTTCTCACCAAACTTCTCAAGGTAGTTATGCTGTGGACCATAAAATCTCTTCCTTTTGGAAGTACATAGCCACCTGTAGTTACATTGTACGTAGCCACCTGAATCTGGAAAGGACCTGTCAGACACCATGTCATGAGTCACCAGTGTTTTGTCCTTGCTACCTGTTTCATGTATGAATCATCTTAAGAGCAACTGAGATTTTAGACTAGCACTATGCATGGCTCCCTATTTGCTTTTTTCAGTTGTTGATCCTTTTCTCTGTATGACATGGTGCTGAAGCTATATTAGTTGACTTGGATAGGTCCTGTTCCATAATTTGTGGAGATACTTATCTATTGGAATTTCTGAAGTGAAATAAGAAAAAAATAAAGGTTGACTGAATCTTAAAATTCATGAAAGAAAGATTCATGAATCAGATGCCCATTTCTGTTTTCCTTATTCTTTAAAATTAATCATTTAGACATTTAATTTTATAGAGGTCCATGGAGGTGCAGTCGATACTTTTTTGTACCTAGATGCAAGTACAATGTACTTTTTGTACATTATTAAGAACAAGGTAGAGAACCGCTAATATAGAGGATCTCAATAATGGAAAAACATGGGAGATCTTTGGCCACGATTCTTGGACCTGAAGAGCACCTCTTCGTCCTTCAAGCTCTGTGTGAATCTACTGGTGATCACAGTAACAGTACAGATATATCTTAATTGTTGACCATGGGTGAAGGTGCTAGAGGACTAGAGATCCTTAAAATGTTACATTCTTCTTGTGTAACTGCATGTTTCTGTGGTTTAGATGAGATCTCTTCTTTACCTTCATGGAGATCCCACTTGGTAGGAAGATAAAAAATGTTGTGAGTCTTTTTGGAAACGATGTTATGTTTCTGGTGCCTATTGTATTCATATTTTGCTCAGATATCTCTGCTGCTTATCCTCCCTGTGTCCGTCTGGTGGTGAAGGAGACATCCATTGACATCCCTCAAGGGTCAGTGTTCATCATCACATGTTCTGGGGGCACCATAGGACGAGAGGGAGCAAGTCATGCCTTCACCCTGGATCACCCCTCTGTCAGCAAGGTATGACCCTACTTCCTTGAAGCTAAGGTCTGAATGCTATACTTCCTTCAATCCTTTAACCCCTTGTGCCAATATGTTTGCTCCAAAATATTTCATGGAAACAAATCCTGTCTCCTCAGCATGATGAGGACTGATCCTCTATTGTATAATGATGCCAATTAATTCACAAAACCAAATATGATGCTTTTGTAGTTATTTTGAGTGTGTATTTTGTCCAACCTGTATTTCACAAACCATTGCTTTCCCCAAATAAATTAATAGTTAAATATTTTTTTGAAACACATACGGAGAAAGAAGAGCTCTCTTTAGCCTCATCATCTCACTTAAATGAGGTTTTTTTGAGCCTTAGTCTTTGCCAAGATGTGATCGAAGCCTGTGTATTTGTTTTATATCTTTCTTTTCTACTTTGTACAAAACTCTTGTGTTCATGATAAGTCAATAATTAACTCTCTTCTTTAGTTCAAACTATTTCAGGGATTCCAGAGTGCTCCAAATTAGGATCATTATCGTAATTCAATATCATGTATTAATGCTTCAACTTATCCAGTCCAGTAGCCTATGCTACTCATATTCTCTCTCTGAAGTTTAATTTATTTGTGTGATCTGGACAACCCTGGTAACCTGCACTCTGCATTGAACTCATCTGTTTCACATTCATAATCTCAATGGCAAATTAGATGGCAGTTTGAATACTATTTTTGGAAATATTATTGGGAGTCCAAATATACTGTAAGAGGGAAAGTGAAGAAGAAAAAGAAGTTTTCATGGCCTATGAAGAACTGGGGATACACAGAGTGAGGCTGGGCATTTATCTTGGTCCCAGCCCTTGGCCTCATTTCTGTCTTCCCAATTTGTCATTGTATAAATACTCCCTATCCTGGGCAAAAAGATTGGAAAGGGGCAAGAGCATGTCATGTTCAGTCTCATAAGCTTTCACAACTCCTGGAATATGGTTACCGAAGTTATACGAGCTGCTTCCATGCCCAATTCTTAATGACCACATTAGTACTTGAGAATGGCATGTTTTTCATCATGGTGTACCTTTGATTTTTCAGAGTCATGCCAGAATGCGTTACAATGAAGAGGTGGAAGGTTATGAGATAGAGGACATGGGAAGTGAAAGTGGCACTATGGTGAATGAGAACAAGATAGACACTTGGGTTTCTGTGATTCATGGAACACGCTTGCACATTGGAGACACCTGTCTCGAGTGTCACATCCATGCAGGCCAGAACACTTGTCCTGGCTGTGAACCAGGACTCTGCATCTCATCGCAAGGCAATGCGGCCCCTCCTCTCCGGCCACGTGGCCTCTCGAAAGCAGACAGGGAACGGGAGCGACGCAAGACCTTGAAGGAGATGAAGAAGAAATTCGGACTGGAAGATGTGGATTACGTGGTGAATGGCGGAACTGGGGATTCCCAGTACCGGGACCGAGCCCACGAGCGAAGGGAGAAAGTCGGCATCGACCCTCTTGGTGTCAAAGTCCAAGCTGCATCTCTGGATACGTATGTCTCATGCCATCTTCTTTTCCTTTGAAATCCCTTGTTCTGAGTATCATCCTAGCTTTTCCCTTGGTTTATGTGTTTAGGGCATTGGATAACAGGAACAAAGGATTCCAGCTTCTCTCAAAAATGGGATGGAAGAGTGGAGAAGGTTTGGGAGGAGCTTCTGCTCAGTCATGTATCCTTGAACCGGTAAGCTCCATTTCCATGTTGTGTGACTGCATCAACAGATTGTGATTTAGACAAGCATGCAACTTGCAGGTATCTGTGGAAGTGCGAGAGGGGAAACAGGGATTGGGTTCTCGTGATCCTTGTGTTGCCTCGAGTGCCACTGTCAAGGAAACAGCAAAGAAGGAGATTTGGAAGAAAACTCAGGATAGGTATCAGAGCATACAGGAATGATTAACTTTAGGTGCTATGGTATTTCATCATTACCCATTGACTCACTGATGCAGGTGGGTACTTTCATAGAAAACCCTAAACAATCTGAATCTTGGTTTCCACATGTGAATGAATGGTGGATCCACCTGGTGACAAGGGAAGGTTTATTCCTATCAAATGGCAACAGCAAGAGTCACACCAAGACATGAAGGATCTTTGGTTCCTCACTATTAATTATGGACATGAACTGGACAGACCAGGGGAACATGTTAAGACAATCATCACAAATATTTTTTATTCATGAATGTCACCGGAGAAAGTCAGTCACTTGAGTTTAGTGTCTTACTGCCAGGACTTAGTTGTACTCTCAGTTGCTGGACCAAAGCATACATTTCCATTGATCTTTGTTTAAGGATCTTGCCTCTTAATGTTCTTTTATACATGTTTTTTTTTTGCCGAAGGCAAAATGGTTTCCCCCCAGTTCAAACACTGTGATGCTTGATTAGAATTTTTGAGTAGTGATCTACACTATTCCAGCTCAAGATGCATCCCTTTGTTGAAAATCACAGTATTGTTGGAGGGGTGGAGATCCTCTGGGAGCCGCCTTGGCATCCTGAAAGAGATTTCAACCCAAATTATAAAGTCCATTTCCGTAAATGTACGTCCCCACTCCAAGAAAATTAAGTTCAGGCTGTTAAAAAGAAAATATTCCATACCCTCCTGGCTATGCCACCGTTAAGAATTCCTACTCCCAAGCTTTAATGCGCGTGCCAAATGTTTTTCTTCTGTCAATATATTGAGTTAAGGGATTCGTCAAATGTAACACATTTGTTCCTTGCTGCAAGTCACAAGAAAAGGTTTGCATGGATAACGAAAAATTGGGAAGTTTTGGTCACGAGGAGGATGGGATTGCATCATTTCTTACCTCCTCAGCGCGTTTTGAAGTCGACCAAGGACCAAAAGGCAAGTCAGAGCATAGAAGTAACCATTCCCCTTATGGTTAGCAGAAAGATTTGCAGAAGGGAGGCTGAAGGCCCATATCATGCTCCATCGTGTATCTGCTTCACATGATAATATTGTTGGATTTTACTTTTTTTTCCAATGCGACAGGACGTAACACTCTAGACTATACAGTGAATTTACGCGAGTCTTATTACTGTGACTTTATAGCAAAAACACGACATTGCATATGGACGCTTGAAATAAGGGTGAGGCCTTGAGATAGAAGTAACCATGAATTCCCAATCTGAGATTATGCTTCTTGCAGATATGCCTCCCTGTGTCCATTATCTCGAGTATGTGAACGAGGGAAGTTGCGAACATGTCATGTTAACGTAACGGCCATCCATTTTTAAGTTCATAACGGAATTTCTGCACGCAGAATCTCTAGGAAGATCATGGAGCAGGGAAGTACTCCAAGAGGGAAGTATTTTGAGTGGGTAGACGCAGTGTAGGAAGTGGGAAACGGCAACAGAGACAGGATATAATAAAAGCATGTGTGGTTGCCTTTTGTGAAAAGACTTGTTGACAGTGGCGTAGCCTGGAAGGAGGCCAAAGAGATTAAGTATTTTAGTTGTAGACCCACTTGAAAACCCCATTTGCGAATAGTCCGCACAAATGGCAGCGCTTAGATTTTAGTAGGATTATAATCGCCTCTGGTGCCTCCGGCCCGCGAATAACAAAGGTTATCAGCCGACCGAACCACAAAGCAGAGGCCAACTGGCCAAAATAAAAATTAGTGCTGTAGGCTTTTTTGTCGAATCCATACTACCGGGTAGATTATTCCGATAAATACATTGAACAAAAGGATGTTCTTTCATTTTTTTACTTTGATGGCAGGATATTGTTAACGACTGAAGAGGTAACTTTTAAAGCAAAATATATGGGAGTTGCTGCACCGGCGCGGAAAGATCTGCGTCACTGGCGAATCATTTCCCAAAACAGGATGACTCACATCGAAGGAGTCACCTGCCTCCAAATCTGATTGCTTGGAAAGGATGGACTTGTTACGCAATCGACAAGGGTAGACAGAATTTCGCGTCGAGAAAGGGATGGACTGTTATCACCTCCACCGCTCCCGTGTGCGCAATTCTGAGTTTTTACTGCTTCCAATTGCCTTACACACGTAAGCGCGATTACAAAGAAAAAAACGCAGATTAATCGCAGTCGAACCGTGAAATCGTGGAAAGCCATAAATTCTGCAGGAGGCCATTTGTGCTCAACTGTATACGTGACACTTAGAAGACTGATGACTGACAAAACTGCGGAGAGTCACGCGAGGGAAATTCCTCTTAGCGAGTGACTCACTCTCCCATCGATCCGAGGACAAAGACGGGAATCGCTCCACATTTGGCGATTGAAAAAAAACCGCAGAGGAAGTCGAGAGGAAAGTCCGGACACGCCCCAGACACGTGTGCAAACGAAGGCATCCCCGCCGGCTGGGTTCTCAAACAAGGTGGAGGTCCTTCCACGCAGACGGAGCCCGCACGACACACGGCGTTTACGATGTTTATTCACCCCGATTCCGGGGGTGTTAACATTTAAACGCGAGAGAAGACCCGACTGTCAGCAGGCGCAAGAGGTCATTCACGTGGGTATCTACTGCAGACTTCTGCGCTTCGTTTCGACTTTACGGCGGGCATCTGTTTTGCACACACCCCTCGTGAACCTCGTCTCCACCCGAAGGCAATCGGATGTTCTCGTTCCGCCTATCCCCACCCTGTATATACCGAGAGCCGTGGAGCCACTTGGACTCGCCGGCTCCTCCCTCCTCCCCCTCGAACCGGGAACCGACCGGCGGCGACGAGAGCGGGGCAGGTCCCACGACCGAGGACGTCCAGGGCCAGACCCGATCGACAGGCCTGCTTCATCATCTCGCACCATGAAGTATAGGTCGCATTGTTGGAGGCGCAGACCGCGACGGGCTTCAAGGAGTCGCACTGGGGCGGACACGTGACGCAGCGGGGCCGGCCCGTCGTCGCCTCCACCAGGCAGCTCTGCCCCGGTCTGCATCGAACCGTCGAACACGTCGCGTTCGCTGCAAAACACAAAAATCAGAGTCGACCGGGATCGTGGATACTTATTGCACTTTATCCGAGACGAAAGATACTCGAAGAATCGTACAACCGACCGTCTACACACGCAACCTTTACTATTTAAATTCTCCACCAGGAAACGCTAATTTTTTCGTAGACGATAATAGACCCCAGTCAAATTTTGCTGCCTATGCTTATACATATGCTTATATTTTACAACAAGAAAATCCTATTGATATTGAATTTTCACCTCTCGATACCCGAGGATAAGCCATCCATTTTTTTTAGGATCAACGAAATTCTTATCGACGGTCAAGTATTTGAATCCTTCCAGAGGGGAGGGAGGGAAACAGCGTGGAATACACGCATGGCAACATGCAAGGCAACAATTCTGCCGGGCATCCATCCATCAAAGTCGTACATGGCTTACATTCCCGCGAGCCTTACTTAGTACTTAAAAAAAAATTTTCCCATTATAAATAGATACATTATTAAAAAGCGCCCAGTTCGGTCAGTCTAAATCCCAACGACCGTTTTCACATTTGAACATGGAATCACATCTCAAATCGGAACGATCGCGTAGGCGACACGGAACGTGCGAACGGGTTTCTCCGCACCCACTCGGCCGGAGTCTCACACGTGTGAAAAAGCAGACTCGTGCAGGTTTCTCTGCCAAGGTTACGTCATCGCAACGCCGCAAAAAGATCCTTCTCTGCACGGACGCGATAGAATTGCACCGCGGCAGGTGTCGCGGCGAACACGATCCTCGGCGCAGGTGAGACCGGGAAGCGACCTTGCACCGCGAGAGGCGAAGAAAGTCGGAGACGCAACACGTGCATGCCGTGTGACGTCACACTTAACGTGCATCCCCGGTTGCCCTTGACATTCGAGCGGCCCACGAGACAGGCTGTCTGGCTCACCCGGATCCCGACACCGGGTGGCTCAAAAGTCCCGAGCCGAGTCGTATCCTGTCTCGTTAGTGGCCTGCATTTCCAAGCGAGAAAATGCAGGGGGAAGGGGGAGGGGGAGGGGGGAGGTCGTAAAAGAAAAAATATGGAATTAATCAGTTCTCCATTCTACTCGTGCATCTCCGACCGAAACAATCACCGGTTCGCAAGATCTTGTTAGTACTATCTTCATGACATCCTTTTTCTCCATCAGACCGTCAACTCATTAGGTAAGACGCTTCGCGTACTACAGTCACCCCGCGTTTCGCTCGTGAAGGGCGAAAAAAAAAAAAGCTTTGACTCCCCCC